TGGATTGATGGATGGATGCATGGATGAACAAAGGGATGGATGGACAGAGGCATGGATGGACGAAGGGAACGCATGGATGGAGGGATTGATGGATGCATGGTGTATGTAGGCCGACCCACACTTATATACATACTGGTACATTTGGGGGATCTTATATTGTACCAAACATCGGACTGTTCGCTGTATTATTGTCACGTCTGCACAGGTGACGATTGCGCACATAAAACCAAACACAGACATATTGCAGCTGCATAGTGGACCAGTACCAATTAGGCAAACAGCGCCTGATTTTCGGGGGGGGGGGGGGGGGGGGNNAGGGGGAGGGGGCTACAAATGTTCGAAACCAAGTGCCGCGGTTTGAAATGAATGCACATGGATGCACAGAACATAGTTGCAAATTGGGGGGCGGGGTTCCGGAGATGTGAGCTTTGATGAATCCTGGGCTTGGGTAGCCTGCGGTTCAGTAGCTGCTGGAAGGCGATTAGGAAGGAGTACATCGTTAAGTTTGGGAACAGGGCTTTACAGAAGCTGTTAACAAAACCCTGACTCCCGGGGTCGTTTCTCTGGCAACTACTTTGCACATAAGCCTCGGAAACGTCACCCCCTGACCTCAGCATTACGGCTACCTTGCCGAGCGTATGAGCGGTTGTTAGTCTCGGCTTCTTAGGGGCAACTCGCCGAGTATGGCTACAACTTTGAAGTGAGTCATGATTCATCCCCCTGGTTCAAGCCTCGTACAAGCCAAACACTCCTCAAACCCCAAACCCTAAACCTTTCACTTCTGAGCGTGCACCCTAGACCCGAACAACACGCCCCGTGAACCTTCACCCAGGGATTGCAAGACCAATGTAGTCACGACGCGCAACTTCTACCATAACCCTAAAAACCCAGACACCTACATCCTAAATCCTCACCCCTCTCCTAAGATCTCCTGGATCATCCAAACACCTTCTACAACATAGAAATCTTTTTACAGAGAATACACAAGGCTACTGCTACCGCTACTGCTACTAATGTTTTTGTCTTCTTCTTATTCCGACCCCTTAGTTACAGTACAAAGCCTTCAACCAACACAAGGGTCCAAGTGGCCAAATAGTGGGGTAAGGTCCCAAACACGATTCTCCGAATGATTTTTGGTATCTAGGACCCTACTGTTTGGGCATGCGTTCCCTATAAAGCTCTTATGACATTTTCGATAGAAACCTACAGCGTGAGACAAAACGCGATTCTACGAATTCAGGCGCCTATATTGGCCGACGGGACGCCCGAAGCTGGTTCAGGTTTGCAATGCCCGGCGGGAAACGCAAGCTAAAGTGATTCCTGAGCGGCTCAGGATCTGGAGGGCTCAGGCTTTAGAGCTCAGGCTTTAGAGGTTTCGGTTTTAGGGTTTAGGGTTTAGGGTGTAGGGGATATGTTGTTGTTTACAGGGTTCAGAGTGTTAGGGTTCAGGGTTTCGGGCTTGGGGTTCAGAGCCGAGGGTTTGGGTTATCGGGTTCACAGTGTAGGATCAGGGGATAGGGTTCAGGGTTTAGGGCTTAACCTAAACCCTAAACCCTAAACCCGGGTTTAGAGTCTAGGGTTCAGGGCTCAGGGATTAAGACTCCTTAGTGTTCCGTGATCAGGTCTCATTAGGGTTCGGGCTTCGGAAGGACTAGATTGAGTGTGCTACGCCGGGGTCTTGCTAACTGAAACGGGCTTATCGGGTATCCTACAGTATAACTATATACTAATAGGACATGATTCAGCCCCCTGCCTAAACCCTAAACCCTACCATTCATGATTTCCTAATACGATATGAAACCAGGTCGAAGGTATCGGAAGATTGACCCAGAGACTCCAATATCCCTTAATTAAGGCATATAACTTAAATCATAGCAGGATCCTTAATATGAGTTAAGGTATACCTTAAGAACCCAAAACCCACTTTTTTGTAGGTTCTTATTATGGGATTTATAGGGGCCCTACAAAAAAGTACTTAAGGTCTATTCCTTAATTAAAGGATATTGGAGTCTCTGGGGAAATGGGGCCCGAACTTCCTGGAGCAGCCGGGCCGAGGTACTTCCCTGCCGCTGGCAGGTTCGCAAGCATTCTTTAGGGTTGCGGTTTAGGTTGGTTGGTTGGTTTAGGGTTTAGGGTTTAGGGTTTAGGGTTTGAGGTTATGGGTTTCAGACGGTGAAAAAACAGGTCGTATCAGGGCTGAGTAGCCGTTCATTACCGTTCATTCGATGTAGGGCGTTCTTTCGGGCTTCATTCAGGTTACAGCTTCAGTTTGGGCCTTTGGGCTTCGAGCCTCGGGGGTTTTACATCACCATATCCTGGCGTATCGCCGAGATGGTGTGCTCCTGCCTCAGGACCAGCTGAGTGAGTTTGTTTCACTCTGGCGGGGAAACTTTAGGTGCTGTGATGTTATGCTGCTGAACTACAGTGCAAAGTATTCGTGTTGGCTGCGTTTGTCCGATCATCGGAGTTCGGAGCACGGCTTCGTCGGGCATGGGATTCTACATAAGCAAACAGCTGTATAGACTGCAATGATGGGGCTTCCATACGGGTTCTGTCAGGCATAGGTTTGCTTTGCGTCTGAGCTTCTGAGCATCTGAAAGAGGGCTTTGGGGGAAGGCTTCAGTTGAATTCTTCTGACGCTGAGAATTCTGAGCTAGGGTTCCACTTTTGGGTGCTTCCTGTAGCTTCAGAGCCGGTTTATGGACTCAGGGCTTACCCATAGGCCCCATAGTAGTTCCTTCTTGGGGTTCATATTTAGAACTCCATAAGGTAATCCCCAAAAGGAACTACTATGGGGCCTATGGGTACTCTAGCTCCAAAGGCTTAGTGGTTTGCTTACTGTAGCTCGAAAGACCTTCCGCTTTCGCGATTTCCGAGGTTTGGGGGAGGGCCTCGGCCGACCTCAGTGGTTTTTCGGGTGCTTCTGTGCTGTCTTAGAAGTTACAAGTTTTCTTTGGGCTTCTTCTTGAGTTGTATAGAGAAGCTGTCGTGCGCTCATCATCGACTTTCAAGCTCTAGAAGCCCAGTTGCAGATGTGATAGGTTTACTGTCGCAGTTGCTATCCGATGCTTGTGTAAGGACGGGAAGCTAGGGCTTATAAACCTGCACCGACACTCTAACCCTAAACTCCCCAACCCCAAACAACCTCCCAATCCAAACCTCTACCAACCAGAAACCCGTAGACTCAAACAGACCCTACAACGCCCAAATTAAGGGACAAATGGAGGGACCCCTAGAAGGGACCCCTAATCTAATACCCTATATAGCCCTTATATACCCCTTGTATAGTCTCATAAAGCCCCTATAGAACCCCAACGGTCCCTTTAAGGGTCGCTCCTTTAGTCCCTTGACTTCTTCCCTACCAGCCCGGGCCGGCCTGTGCGTATGCCTGGGTGACTGGGACCTCAAACTCGACCCTAAACCCTAAAACCCTAAAGCCCTAAACCCTAAAATTTAAAACCCTAAAGCCCTAAACCCTGAACCCTACAACCCTAAAGCCCGAAAGCCCCAAACCCTAAACCCCTCAAGCCCTAAAGCCCTAAACCCTAAAGCTCTACATCCCTCAACCCCAAAACCCTTAAAACCCCCAAAACCCTAAACCCGACTTTTCATGCTTGGGGTCGATGCCTTGTAGGTTAAGGCTCCAGGGCTTGCTATGGTTACGGCTTCCTAGGGGCGATATCTTAGGGTTTAGGGTTTAGGGCTCCAGGGCTTTAGGGTTTTAGGGTTTAGGACTTGAGGGCTTTAGGGCTGTAGGGCTTTAGGGTTTTAGGGCTTTAGAGTTTTAGGGTTTTAGGGTTTCAGGGTTCAGGGTTTAGAGCATCTATGGAGCCATCACAAGATTCGCAGGATTTTGGGGTCTGGGGTTTAGGATTCAGGCTTTAGTGCTTGGGGTGAGGGTTTCAGGTGCAGGGTTTCAGAGATCAGGGCTAGAATCTAAACCTCCTACAGGTTAAGCTTTCCTAGGCTTTTCCAGCGGGCACTTCGTGGTCCAGCATCTAAACGAAACCCTTAGGGTGCGTAAGTCCCGGTGTTCCTCAGACGCAGTTTGGAGCGCAGGACTGGCAGTGGTTCGTGCAGGGCTGGGTCTCTTTGCATCTGGGGCCAAGCTTTGGGATAGCCCTAAACCCCTAAATACCTCAAGCCTAAAGCACCAAATCCCTGACCCGACCCTCAAAAAAATCTAATGCCAATGCCAAACCCCCAACCCATGTCATAAATGACCAGAACCTACGCCAGTGAATTCAATGGTGAGATTCTGAGGTCCCGAGTTATCAAGGGCCCCAGCAGCGTCAAAGTAGATAACTTCGGTGATTCAGGTATTTGAGGGAATTGGAGGTGTAGATACCTAGGTCTCATCAACAGCAGTAGTAGTAGCAGCAGCCGCAGGAGGATGAGTAGTAGCAGTAGTAGTAGTAGTAGTAGTAGTAGTAGTACTACTACTACTACTACTACTACTACCACTACTACTACTAGAAGGAGTTGAAGGAGTAGAAGTAGAAAAAGTGGTAGAACGAGTAGAAGGAGTAGTAGTAGTAGTAGTAGTAGTAGTAGTAGTAATAGTAGGAGTAGTAGTAGTAGTAGTAGTAGTAGTAGTAGTAGTAGATGGAGTAGAAGGAGTAGTCGTCGTCGTCGTTGTCGTCGTCGTGGTCGTCGTCTTGCAGTAGCCGCAGCATCTTCACAACCTTAATTCCTATAGCGGTTTCATTGACAGCTGTGATTCCGTCTACTGGGGTTCAGAGTTCCGGATATTTAGGATGCCTGGCTTGGCGTACTGTCTAGTATCTGGGCTCAACTGATAAGTAAGGTTGGGGTTTAGGGCTTGGCTTCATGCTCAGGTTTCCTGAAGCCGGAGAGAAAACCGCGCACCAAATGATAATGTTATATTGCTAAACATTAGGCCTTCAATAGGCCACAGCAGAGCATCTGCGAGAACTTGCAAAACCTTCGGGCTTATAAGCCCTAAACTTGCCCAAACCGGAAACTGGATCCGGTCAGTATGATATTAAGGCACAAATGTTAGCAACCTGTGGTGATGAAGAGGTTGCATGGTCAGAGCTCCCTGTTGAACCAAGGCTTCTACACCCCAAAAATCCCAAACCGGATGAAGCCTTAATCCCAAAGAAAATATACCCCCATGAGCCCTAGACCCCTTCGGCCCAATCCTCATAATGCTAAACCTGAACTCTAACCCTGCAAACTCCCTCCTGCTGAGAAGAACTCCCGACAGCAGAGAAGCCAGAAGGGGTTTAGTGCTTCACCGTAGGGCTTGCCAATAAGCCCCATAGTAGTTCCTTTTTGGCGTTCATATTTATAATCCCATATGTAATCCCAAAAAGGAACTACTATGGGGCCTACGGGTAATGCATGGAGGTATTTTCGTTTCGGGATTTCGGGGTGGCTGAGACAGTGCAGCGGACGTCTGAAGTCCTTGAAGACCTGAGGCTCTGGCCAAGTCGTGTGATGGCATGGCCGGCTTGGAAAAGTGTTTGGCTGTGCTCTTAAAGATCACTAGAAGCTTTAGTAATTTAGCTATAATTATACGTTATAAGGTTTAGTGTTGGCGCGGGAGGGAGCCGGCGGGCTGAATGATTCAGGACGCGGGGGTCAGCTTTTTTAGTGGGCATTTCGGGGGGTCAGGGCTAGGAGGTTGGGTGTGCGAGGTAGACTTGCTGTCAGAGAGTATAACGGATCTGGTCTGGAAGTCTGCTTGCCTTTGCGGTGTGATCGAGCCTATGGCTACATTCATCCCCGTTTTAGCTACATTCATCCAGACAAGCACATCCTCAACATTGAGCTCGCAGTTCCTGACCACCCATTCAGACACGATCGCTATTGGCCTAGCAGCTGCATGACACCATTGTGAAATTGTCCGGCACACAGACGACAAACGCTTGCAGATGGTCATAATATGACTCTAAACCTAATGAACCCTAAACCCCCCTAAACCCCTAAACCTTGAACCCTTAACCCAAAACCCTAATCCCTAAACCTCTAAACGCCCAATCCCTGAACCGCTGAACCCCTAAACGGTAAACCCTAAACCCCTCAACCCTGAACTTTCAAATTTCGCGGGCTTACACCGAAATTCGAGAAGAGTACCAGAACCGGCCCGGGCTTTCGAAAACAGACTTTCCAAGATCCCTTCATTAAGGAATATACCTTGCATCATCGTAGGAACCCTGGTGTATATATATATATATATATGTATTTAGTGATTTATTTAGTTATTTACTTAGTCCGTTCTCCTTTAGTTAACGAATGTAACTTCAATTTCTTGAATCATAACCGGATCCCCTATATATCTATCTGAATCTGTATCTTTATCTACATCTATATCTCTATATACATATATATTTTTTAAGGCTGAAACAAGGGCTGGGGGGCAAAAAGTGGCTCGCCCAGTGCAACAGCGGCAGCTTGGGGTCTCTTTCGCGCAACTCAGAAGCGAGAATGATGAATGCCTCCGCGCTCCATCTAAGAGGGTTTAGGGTTTTTATGGCTTAGTACTCGGGGGTTTAGGGTTTAGGGATTCGGGGCTTACAAGCCATGATGGCATCCAGTCGACAGTTATCTGAAAAGGCCTCAGGACGAAGGATCATGCGAACTGCCAGCGGGGAAGCTGCTGTCAAGGAAACATGTCTGCTGTTTTAAAAGCCAGATACTCACCAACCGAAAGACGTGGGACTGGAAGTGGCGAAGACGTCAGTGACCATTTCGGTCCACAGGGCTCCTAGAGTGGTTTTGACGGTGTGCCGTACCAACACAAAGTGAGAACTTGCCGTTGGGAGCCTAATTACCTACATTATGGGTTACTGCATGAATCAAGTTGGCAGTGTAGCAAAGCGTTGAAGAACTGATATACTGTTTTTTTATCTATGATAGGGAACCCTGAGGACTCATATGGTTCGGGGTCCCAATACTACCAGTATAACATTAAAATAGTACCATTATAACATCAAACAGTTGGGATTATAACATTATATGAAATTTAACAGTTGGGATTCATAGCATATAATGTTAAATAGTTGGGAGTAGAATATCATCTAGTGTTATATGGTTGGGGGTTCATGTGCGTGCTAGGCGTGCAGCTCCAACATGGGTAGTTCTCTAAATTAGGGTCCCTTTTTAGGCCCCCAATATAGTACGGCACCCTTATAAAAAGGAGCCTAAAAGGGACCCTAATATTGAAAACTACCCACATGCGCAGAGCCTTCGTCAGCCCAGTGCGTCCAGCTTGGCCTGCCGCAGGCGGCCTTGATCTTGATCGAACTTAGGGTTTAGGGTTTAGGGTTTGGGTTTAGGGTTTAGGGTTTAGGGTTTAGGGTTTAGGGTTTAGGGTTAGGCCAATAATCCTATTCTAGTTAGTCTTATAATGATTGAGGCCCCTACTGTATACAAAACCCTTATAGAACCCTTGTAATAACCGTTGTGGCAACCCTTCAGAGGAACCCCATTCTCATTCTAAGGGCCCCTATACTACATCCTTATAGAAAAAATTATCCTAAATCGTAAGCAGCAGTCAAAGAACTTCATATCGAGCGTCTCGCGAGAGTGTCCTCGTCTGATAGCTGCGTGAACCACAGGAGACTGTGACCTCTCGTGGCACCTGCTCAAAGACATCCGGCACTTCTCCATCCATGGTTTGCTCTGCCTGTGGTGCTTCAGTCGAGCTCTTTGCAGTCCTCTGGCAACATCTGAGTGCCCATTGTCGTCTTCGAAGTCGCATTAAGCATCTCAAGGAATGGGTCCAGTCTTCCTCTTCTAACCGGTACCCCGACGGCTGGCTTCTCCCGGGGTTTCACGACTGGTATACAAAGAACCCTTGCGTTTCGGCAATCTGCCGTCGTCGAGGGATGCTTCAGCAAACAAGTTATACAATCGACATGTCAATCGAGTTTCCATGGCCTTCCCTGCCCACAGGGTGCATCCATCTCCCACGGAGTTCGAATCCGGGATGCAAGAGTTACCATGCATGGCGCCCAAAGCACCTTCCTGGTCGGTTTGCTCCCCAGCAGGCGCGTTAGCCCATCGCCCCGCTGTCATTCACCATTCACACCATGTGCGTTAGCCCCAAGGAGCATTGGGAATACCCGTGCAACTGCGCCCCACACCCGGCCAACGGTGTGGGAGGAGTGCGTGTATGAGGTGATGCTATCTCCTTCTGGGTAGGGCGCAAGCGAAACTGACAACACACAGCAGCCGCTGGTTGGTCTTGCCCGAAGAGCTCCAAAACAGCGTGTGGGTCTTGCGTCTCCTGCTCAGCCGGCTTCTGGGCAGTTCTTTCGTTGCGCTCTGACGCTGTGTCACATCTCTCTTGAAGTTGAAACGGTCAGCGCTTGAGACCGTGTTGGGGACGCACTTCCGCAGCTTGCAAACGAAGACCTCCCTTTCGAAAAACGGAACGAGGGCTTCCTCAGTCTCCTCTTTGAGACAGTTAATCCAATAATCATTTTTCTCAGGTCGGGATACCACTTCACTGCAAACCGTCGACATTTGCACGGCGGCCCCCGCAGCTGCATCCTGAACTTCGCAGGCTGCTCATCTTCGGTCTCCTCTGCAGCACGCCATGCGCGCGAGATGAAGGCAAGGTGCTCAGAGCACAGGACCAGCAGAACTGCATAGCGATGGAAAAAAGAGCCACATCGTGGTGAAGCGCTTGCAAGAGCAAGACGTGTTTCGTGGTTGGCGTACCCAGTAAATCCTCCTGTCTGACGTCAACAAAGGCTCCCAATCGTGCCATGTCTCAATCGGCAAGAAGCACATCATCCAGCGTTCATCTGTGCAGCGATGATCATGCTGTACAGTTGAGAGTCCACGAGCGCGGACAACTCCTGGCACAAGTGACTTCCCGCAACAGGCAAGTGACGTGCTTCTAACTTGCCCCTCGCTTGCCTTCTTCTAGTGTCACGAAGCCTGAAGTTGAGGTGCTTATTTAAATACAATACGTATACTTCCCTAGTCTCAGGACAAGAACATAAACGAAATGTTTCGAACAAACATGCAAATTCATTCATACCCGTGTGGTCGTACATAGCCATACAGAAGTGCTGTGACCACGTGCGGCGAGGATGGTGGTTGAAACGATGACCACGACTGCGAGAAGCATAAGAGTGATGCTGATGATCGTGATGCTGACGACGACGACGACGACGACGACTACTACTACTACTACGACTCCTACTACTAGTACCAGTACTACTAGTA